TTTCACTAACCCAAACATGATTATACATGAAAACTTGAACATGAATATGTTTCATCATCATGACCTGGAAGTACATGAACATGTACAATATAAATAAAAGAAGCAAATAAAACATTTTATAATGAAACCTTCTGATATGAACATTAATTGCATAAAGAATGAAATATATTATGCATCCGTTTCATTATGATGAAACCTTTTCATTATGCATTTAATATAATATGCAACCGTTTTTCTTCGTAATGAAACCTTTTCATATGAACATTAATATATTATGCTATGGTAATATGAAACATTTTCATTTTAAAACCTTTTCATATGAAACAGGTTCATAACCGGTAATTTTTGATACAATGAACCTCAAATCATTCATTCATTATATAACAAGATAAAATCTTCATGAATGTTTCCAGCTTCATTGAATAAAAAAAAACAAATCAATTTTTAATATTATAAAATATTAAAATCTTTAAATCATTCCATTTTTATAATTTCCATTATTAAATTTCCTTATTTAATATTCCTTAATAACTTTCTTATTTATGAAAAAAAATAATGAAAATGACCAAAATGACCTTATTGAATAAATTTAATTAAAAAAGAATGGAATTTTCCTATTGGTCGATTTTGGTTTACACGGTTTTTTAGAATGACATGGTTTTCATWTGAACCTGCCCCTATATATAGGAGCGTTCAAATAAAAACTTGCCCCATTTGTATAAACCGTATAAACCAATCCCATCCATCCATTTTTTTGATCAATGACTAAGATTAGTTTACTTTATTTTAGGAAATTAAAAAATAAAAAATATTAAAAATTTATTTTATTTCAATACTAAGGGCAAAAATTGGTAAACAAAAATAAACCATTTTATAATGAAACATTTTCACATTGAAACAATTTCATGAACATTAATTTCATAAAGAACAAAATATAATATGCACCTGTTTCATCATACATTTATTTCATAAAGAACAAAATACATTATGCACCCGTTTCATCATACATTTATTTCATAAAGAACAAAATACATTATGCACCCGTTTCATTTTCATCCTACCAACTAAACGGATCAACTTCAATCACAAAGCAACATGGATCACCATGAAACTAGATCATGAATCTTGAATCAATTAGAGCATCAACATTTTCACCATCATGAACTCTATTTCATTAACATGTAAAATATGTCTAGAAGAAGCAAATAAATCATTTTACAATGAAACATTTTCACATTGAAACAGTTTCATGAACATGGATGATTTTTTTCCTCCAACCTCAAATCAAGATTTCATTCCATAAGAAGCTAGAATCTTCATATCACGTTTCCAGATTAATTGAATAACAAAAAATTAAAATCAAGTTTTTAATATTATAATATAATAAAAAATTTAAATGTTACCATTTATATAATTTCCATTATTAAATTTCCTTATTTAATATTTATTAATAACTTTCTTATTTATCAAAAAAATATGGAAAATGACCGAAATACCCTTATTGATTAAATTTAATTAAAAAAATAGAATTTTCCTATTGGTCGAAATTGGTTTACACGGTTTCTTAGAATTGCATGGTTTTTATTTGAACTTGCCCCTATATATATATATTCATGATAAATATAAGATCCTTGGGGAAGGGAACAAAAGTTGTCTTATAAGAGGTTTGATACCTCATCTATCAAACGTGAGTCCAAGTGTATGGACAAAACGGACAATATCTTGGACGGTTGGTTTGGGATGTTACAATAAATACATAGTAGTTAATAAATACATTATACCCATGCATAAATAGACGAAAAATCGTGTGAGAATAAGAATTAAGACGAGAAGCGTAAGAATGAATCTAGACCCTTGATCACTTTTAATATCACCCCCACTCTATGAATTCCGCTTGCTACGGGAATTGGTCCGGTGCATCTTGATGCATCTCATTAGTGTTGATTTTCAATTAGGATTGATCCAAGGATGGAGATCATTTCTTATCCTTCTCATCATAACTTTTATTCTCACCGAAACTCAACCCTGCATACATATAATTTAAACCACCCCCCTCCCTTCCCCAAAGAAAAGAGAGAAATAAAGAGAGAAGATGAACACAGAGGAAGTGATAAAATAAGGTGGTTTAACAAATTCTCTAAAATTTCTTTAAAATGAAGAATCAAATCTCAAAATCTTCAAGAAACAAAAAAACTACATTAACTCCAACAAATTCTCCATTTTAGGAATTACAATATTAATTATATTATTAAGATATATATATATATATATATATATATATAATTCTCTCATAAAAATTTAGCGACTAAGATTTCTTATTGGTGAAAATATAATAAAAAAATATTTCTTTATCTTGATCATTTTTTGGGAGTTCTAGACATAGAGAATTTCACATTCTCTCTTATGCTTTCTTCATTTTAAAGAAAGTTTTCATTTTAAAGAAAGTTTTAAAGAATATGTTAAAAAGTAAAAATCTACCCAAAATTTCTGTTTAGAGGATCTTTTATAACTGATCTAAAGTAAATGAGAAGGGTATATTTGTAATAAAAAATAATAATGAACATGTTTTTAACATAGGAAAGTATTGGATGATATATGGGGTAATGGGTAAATATGCATTATGAATAAAAACCCAAATCTCCCATACCAAATATAAGTAAAGAAAGCTTAGGTGTAAAACAATGGATTGTGGGATTGGAACAAGAGTCAATTATGTTTATACCCTTCTTTTCAGACCCACCTACAATCATCCCACCAAGACTTCTCAATTCATACAACTATTGACATGAATAACCAAAATTATATGAAAAATTATTAAGAAAAAGTTTTTAAAAAAAATCGTGTTCTGAATTATGCAAGATGAATCGATCCTTAACAACCCCTTGAAACTGCTATGATTCGGAAATTATCTGTTGGCTTTCCGTTGCATACACATCATTGTTTTTAAGAAAATATATGAACATATCACATATCATGAAGCAGTTACGTAGTGTTTACACACGCTATCGGCTATCCTCAAAATTAAAATAATTGACCTTTTAAGGGGCAGATCCATTTTTGGCAGGTGACCAAAATCACAAAATTAAAAATACTAGTAATACAACAAATTCTTGCCTGTTATAAAAATTGAAAAAAAATGTTGATTTCACGTCATTTGCTAATATATAACAGAAATAAATAAAAGTAAAGAACAAAGGAATCTTCAAAGTCGGTTTGGGGGGCCATATGAAGGATTTTGGGGCCAAACTGAAAGTTGGATTCATCCATGGACCAATGAGAGGACGCGGTTTGTCATGATACTTGGCCTTCCTTCGGTAAATGTCTTGTAAACTTCCAACGGATCAAAAATTATGATTGTTTGAAGTTGGACTTATGCAACTTGTTTCTCATTCTCCCTCTTTGGTCCATGAAAATGAACCTGCTAACTCTTGGATCTGCTTGGCATCATCATAATTAACATAAAATAGATTAAAAATAGTGTCCATAATCCAACTGTAAGATAGGGGCAATAAAGTCATTGCATAAGGAATGTGTGTTTCATACAGCAAAGAATGACAGATAAGCAGATCTTTGATCCCATTTTTAATTCAAAAGAAAGGGACAAAACAACTGTTCAAAAGCATAAATCACTATTTTTTAATGTAAACTAAGTACCACCTGCAAATTTGATGATGCATCCCACAACTAGTCAAAAGGGCCAAAACTCAAAGACTCCTTTATTTTGAGGGTCAGCATAAAAAACATGGTATACAATATTCTTTGGTATTTTATAAGCAAATGGGTCCATTAATATAAAAATAAGAAATCTAAGACATTTCACTTTTAAACCATCTGTTTGACCTTTTTGTTGCAAACAAATCATCGGGTTTTTTTTTGTGAAAATGCGAAGAAAATGAATTGTTTTGCATTTTTCATTCACATGATTTGTCCAAAATTTATTCACCAAAGGGATTTTGGCCTAACAATATCCAGTAACCCAAGTTTTTCTTTGGAAAAGTGTCCTAGGCTATGTGGACTAATCCTTGCAAATTCTGACTACAAAAAATCAACCATGATAAACTCAATGACCACAATCATTGTATACGCCTGGAATCGAAACCTGGGCAGATGGGTTATTCCACTACATTCCTCAGGACCTCAACCACTACGCCACAACCCTTGCGGTTCCTGAAGGTCAGGGTTCCAACATCTCCAAAGGTGGGGATTACAGAGTGCGTGTGAGTTTCATTCGTATATAAATATTATATACTTAAGAAAAGTTGATTTGCAAGGAAATGCCACTTATGAAAGTAAAAAAGGTAAATCACATGAAAATCTAAAATGAAACCCTCAAATAACCCGGGAACCACGTGGCATATAACTAATGGACAAAACAAGAATGACAGGCTTAAAAGGTTAAGCGCCAAGTCAGCATCTTATTAGCAGTGACCAGGGAAAAGGTGACAGGAGGTGGACGGTGGGGGAAGGGGGGTGACTCCCACCAGGTCCACCATCACCATTACCCTCTTCTGCTTTCTATTTCCTTTGAGACCTGCTTTTTTCACCTTCTTTACTAGTTTTCTATTTCCAAAATCTACCCAACTCATAATCCCCCCCCCCCCTCTTTAAACACACAAACACACACAGACACAGTAATTAATCTCTTTCTGATGATCCTATAGACTTGAAGAAATGGTAAGCTTTATGCAGATCCAGGAGTTCATGTTATACAATATGAACAAAAGTTGTAATCTTTACCTTTTTATGTTGTCTGATGCATCCAGGGAACTCCAGTTAACATCATTGTTGGATCGCACATATGGGCAGAGGATCCTGAAGTTGCATGGATTGATGGAGAAGTGATCAAAATCAAAGGCAATAATGCCACCATAATCACCACAAATGGGAAAACTGTAAGACCCTTCATTCGATTGTTCATATTGTACACTGATCATGATATATGATTAGTACAAACAATAAGTAAAAGACCAAAATTAAGAACTGTTTATGATATGTTTCAGATGATAGTAGATATTTCCAAAATATACCCAAAGGACACAGAGGCACCCCCTGCAGGGGTTGATGACATGACCAAGTTAGCTTACCTCCATGAGCCAGGAGTTCTTTACAACCTTTCTGCTCGGTTTGCTCTCAATGAAATATACGTAAGTAAATTAAATAGTTGAAATCTTTTAGAATTGAAGTGAAACTACTACTAAAGTATTAAGTTATGATATAAGCAGACTTACACAGGGAACATTCTGATAGCAGTGAACCCATTCAGGAGACTTCCACATTTGTATGATGTCCATATGATGGAGCAGTATAAAGGAACGGCTTTTGGGGAGTTAAGCCCTCATCTTTTTGCCGTTGCAGATGACTGTTACAGGTAATGTGGTGCGGTTTAGCACGTTAAATTTAGTATCAGAAAGTATGTGTGAAGAGAAGAAATGAAAACAGCATGAGTTTTAACAATTTTGTTATATTATTAGAGCAATGATCCATGAACATGGAAGTCAGTCTATCTTAGTGAGCGGAGAGAGTGGTGCAGGGAAAACGGAGACGACGAAAATGTTAATGAGATATCTTGCTTTCATGGGAGGCAGATCCAGAACTGAAGGAAGAACAGTTGAACAACAAGTTCTGGAGGTTGGTAATTTGTAACTAAAGATTTTTCGAATTTTCACAGCGTACGCACTCTCGATCCTATGAAAACTGCAACATTTGACTGGCATGTAGTTTTTGTGAAATTATGCCTCCAACAAAAAGAAATACGGGAATCTTGTGCATCATTTGGATAGTAAGATGATGACAATAGGAAAATAAAGAAAATGTTGAGATTTTCATAGGACATCCTGAAACGGAGGGCATTGCAATTTTCGTGGGATGGAGGGAACAATCGTTAAAGAGATAAAAATTTAATGACAACTTTGACTTTACTCATCAGTCCAACCCAGTACTGGAAGCCTTTGGGAATGCCAAAACTGTCAAGAACAACAATTCCAGGTGAAAAGTCATGTAATAACTTCAAATTTGAGTTTAAAGATCTCGTAGATCGACTTACAAGAAAATTACACATGACTGAGTGTTTGTACCAGTCGTTTTGGTAAATTTGTAGAGATCCAGTTCGACAAGCAAGGAAAGATATCTGGGGCTGCAGTCAGGACTTACCTTCTTGAAAGATCGCGTGTTTGCCAAGTTTCTGACCCAGAAAGGAACTACCATTGTTTCTACATGCTCTGCGCAGCACCACCTGAGGTATCTTGTATTCATTCAAGTATTGTTTGATCATAGGCAGCTGATACTAATGATGATTATTTTCAGGATGCCAAGAAGTTCAAACTAGGAGATCCAAGAACATTCCACTATTTGAACCAAACTAATTGCTATGAAGTAGCAAACATAGATGATGGAAGGGAGTATTTGGAAACAAGAAATGCAATGGATGTTGTGGGGATCAGCCAGGAAGAGCAGGTAAAGTACCAAGATTACTAAAATTAATAGGGAAAATTGCATGAAAATGCAGTGCAATTTGGTCCTCGATTCCTATTTTGTGTAGCGTACTTTCAAAACCTTGATTTTGGTACCTCAGAATGTTGCACTCTCATATACCAGGTACCTAAATGTTTGATATGAAAGTATGTTACACAAAATAGGAATTAGACAAGTATGTTGCATTTTCATGCAATTTGCCCAAATTAGAAAGGCTTAACTAATAGATTTCTGAAAAAGAAAGCTCATACCTTTGTAGGATGCTATATTCCGCGTTGTAGCTGCAATTCTTCATCTGGGGAACATTGAATTCATGAAGGGGAAGGAAGCTGATTCTTCTAAAATAAAAAATGAGAAGTCACTCTATCATCTTCGTACTGCAGCAGAGCTACTCATGTCTGACTCTGATCAACAAAGAACTGATTGTCCACTGTTGTTGAGTCTTCATGGTGCATCTAAAAGTAAGCTTATCTGAACTAACTTTCTTGCAGGTGCAACGAAAAATCACTTGAAGAATCACTTTGTGAACGTGTTATTGTAACTCCTGATGGAAACATTACAAAACCACTGGATCCAGCCTCAGCTGCTTTGAGTCGTGATGCCCTGGCAAAAACAGTTTACTCCAGACTGTTTGATTGGTAAGGAACTTTGAAATTCAAAATTTCAAATTCCGGTATCTTGACATCAAGCTTTGTTATTGACATGGGAACTCAAACATTTTAAGATCAACTTTACACCAGGAGTGTGCCTATGAAGCAAAAAACACCAAATCATCAAGCGGTTTACTATGTGTCAAATGGACATTACTGAACTTGAGTGAAGTATCTGATTATATATACACATGAATCGATGCCACTTTTTCCGCAAAATTTGGAAATGTGATAGGACTACAATTGCATATATGTGATGTCATGCATCAAACATATCAGTCTAAAATCGAACATGCTACAGTGACCATAATGAATGCTTGAACACTCAAATTTATGAACTATGGCAGGATTGTGGACAAGATAAACAATTCAATTGGTCAAGATCCAAATGCAAAAAGTATAATTGGGGTCCTTGATATCTACGGTTTTGAAAGCTTCAAGATTAACAGGTACATAACAGTAGTTTCACCGAACAGTGACCAACTCTTACCGCTAACAAATGTGACTTTACTAACTTCTTATTGACAGCTTTGAGCAATTGTGCATCAACCTGACAAATGAAAAGTTGCAACAGCATTTTAATCAGGTAATGTGTGAAAACCACATATTTTTTATGAATTCCTTCTTTCTGTGAATGCATAATATTGCTAGCATACCTAAGAAAAGATCCATTACAAATATAAATGGGCAAAAGCATATTTACAGCATGTATTCAAGATGGAACAAGAAGAATACACAAAGGAGGAAATCAACTGGAGCTATGTAGAATTCGTAGATAATCAAGATGTTTTAGATCTCATTGAAAAGGTATCAGTTTTTATATTATTACCATATTGAAGAATTCCCAGAGCATTATTTTGATCATATGTACTTGAATATGCAGAAACCTGGGGGTATCATTGCTCTTCTAGATGAAGCATGGTACGTAATTGTCCTACATGTATTAGTGATTGCGTTTCACAGAACTGGATGTTAGCTTCATGAGGCCAGATGTGCTTAAAAACATCAATAATTCAATGTAGTCTATACACATTACAACACTTAAAAATAATGAACCTACTCAACGAAACGAAATGCAAGGATATGAAGCTTTATCCTCTTCATATGCAGTATGTTTCCAAAGGCCACACACGAGACATTTGCGCAAAGAATGTACCAGTCTTATAAAGCACACAAACGATTCAGTAAGCCAAAACTTTCGAGAACAAATTTCACGATCAACCATTATGCTGGAGATGTAAGAAGAATTTATGTACTAATTATCATATATTGTAAAAAAGATCTTCTTACTGAAGGTTTCCATCATATAGGTTACTTACCAAGCAGACCACTTCCTCGACAAGAACAAGGATTATGTTATAGCAGAACACCAAGCCCTGTTGGATGCCTCAAAGTGCCCTTTTGTGGCGAATCTTTTCCCATCATTAGCTGAGGAAACATCTAAACAATCCAAATTTTCTTCAATTGGAACTCGCTTTAAGGTAAGGTGAATCTGCTTGATCGCAAATAACTTCTATTCAACTTTTAAGAACCTCATCCAACTTCAAATTGCAGCAACAATTACAATCTCTAATGGAAACCCTGAGCACTACAGAGCCACATTACATCAGATGTGTAAAGCCTAATACGGTCTTGAAGCCAGGGATATTTGAAAATGACAACGTTTTAAATCAGTTAAGATGTGGAGTAAGTTACTTTTCTTGAACCTGATTAGCGGCAACGATATCATGATTGAATATTAGATTCCAATGAGAAATATGTGGTTGTTATTTTGACAGGGTGTACTAGAGGCAATTAGAATAAGCTGTGCTGGTTATCCAACAAAAAGAGCTTTTGTTGAGTTCCTGGAACGATTTGGAATGTTGGCTCCAGAAGTTCTACATGGGTAAATACATTCTCTATATCATTTTGTAAGATGCAAGTAACTAGGATATGAAGCAAATATAAGGGTTGTTAGGTAGAAACTGAATGATTTGGTGCAGAATGATTAGTTACAAGAAAGCAGTAACCAGCAAGTAACAAACATGCCAAATATTATTTTTTTTACCTTATTAGTCTTAAACAGCATCATAACCATCGATATTTATAGTTCCGGAATTGTCTTTGCTCTTTCTGTATGCAGATGTGATGAGAAATCAGCATGTGCAGCAATTTGTGACAGATTTGGACTGAAGGGTTATCAGGTAGTACAACTAAAAACCATCTAAAAATCCTATCATACGACATATGAACAGTCGATTTTCTAGGAACCTGATGAGAAGCATTCCAGCTTACTGCTCCATATTTCAGATAGGCAAAAGCAAGGTTTTTCTAAGAGCTGGACAGATGGCCGAATTAGATGCACGAAGAACTGAAGTTCTGACAACAGCAGCAAGGAAAATTCAGAGGCAAATCCAAACATATCTCATGCATAAAGAGTTCATTACCCTTAAAAGGGCCACAATCGATGTACAAAAGCTATGGAGAGGTAACCTTTTCCTGCTAAGGAATTTACTGATTACACCATTACTCACTAATAAAGTAATCAAGTAAACCCATATACATAGTCACATCAGAATGGCATCTCATTATTCCACTTCTTACATACTCGGCTGCCAAATTATTCTCACCGTGATATTACATGGAGTAAAACACGTAGTACTCAATAACATGTATACTCTAGATATCACAACGCCGTTCCCACTAGCTTCATAAGCATCTTTTCCCCAAAAATAAGCATCTTTTGCCCAAAGCATGCTATGACAAATTTCCTTTTCCTACCTACACAGCAAGACTTGCACATAAGCTATATGACTACTTGAGGAAGGAAGCGGCATCTATCCGAATACAGAAGTATCATCGTGGTCGTACATCAAGAATGGCGTACAAGCACTTACAGGAAGCGACACTATCTGTTCAAACTGGGTTAAGGGCAATGGCTGCCCGAGATGAGTATAGACACAGAAGAAGGAACAAGGCTGCAACTATAATTCAGGTACTGCATCTGTCCTGATCCAGAAATTATGGCTTGGCTATTCATAGATGCAAACTTTACAGGGCATAATATAAAAACCATTTTAGCATAGTGTTAAGAAATACAAGAGTTCATATGTTGTTTATCTTCTCAGTTTCATTTAGTGGGCCCCTTCTCCATGATGTTAGAATAAATGGAGATGGTGGCTAGAAAGTGAAGACAGTAGATGTAAAAGATAAGTTAAATGGATGGAAACCAAATTCTAAAGTGAGCCAGTAGTAATCTTATCCTCAACAGAGAGTTGAAGGAAACTCATATGGTTTTGGAACCATTTGAGGAACTAAATAACTTTATTTTTATGTTGGTAATATAGATTGAAAAAATGAAAATAAGAAAGAGGTCATTGTGCTTTCATGTTTTTTACCATTTATATACTTCAACAAAATATTTATCAGTTAGATATTGTTGCTCTCATAACCATAACCACTTGCATCATGTTTATCCATATTTAATAAAAAAAAATACGTAGCATGAATCAGTAACAATAGTTGAGATTATTGACATTCTCTTTGTCAAATTATTCTTCCCCTTGTCTTCTTGCCTGAAATTCACTATTTTATGTTAGTTAATTCATTAAAATTGGACGAAATGATGTAATTGACATCATTGTGAGAGTATAAGTATGTGATTGGTAATCCTTCTTATTCCAGTATGCTGAATCAAAGATTTGTGAAAATACAGTAACCACTTCATCTATTAACCCTTCAAGAATTTATGGCTCTCATCCTACTCATTTAACATTGAAGTAGCTAGTAAACAATATAATCAAGGTAGTTGCATGCACTCCAACTAACTAAAATAAGGTTCAAAATTGACCTCTAGATTATGATTGGCTCCTTGTTTTACAGACAGAATGGCGGAGATTTTATGCTCTTTCTGCATATAAGCATCAGAAGAAAGCAACTCTTACACTTCAATGTCTTTGGAGATCAAAGGTAGCAAGGAAGGAATTAAAAATGTTGAAGATGGTCAGTGCATCTTGTCTCTAGAACCAAAGTATCTTCTCTGTTTATCGAAAAAAAAAGTATCATCTACTTGGAGTCCTGCTAACTGCTCCCAGGTAAAAGATTATATATCACCAATAACTTATAATCCCTTATTGCAGGCTGCAAGAGATGCTGGGGCCCTTAGAGAAGCTAAGGACAAGCTAGAGAAGCGTGTTGAAGAATTAACATGGAGACTAGACTTTGAAAAGCACTTGAGGGTATAAATTTCCGTTTAATTGTTAGTGCAAGATAGCTTGCAAATATCTCAGGCAGAAGTACAGCTAAATGTTTTAGATTACACTTATACCTGGTTTAGCGCACACAAACTTTGTCACATAATGGTCATATGGATCAGCTGCATGGTCAACCAAGTAAAGCCATAACTTCTAATTCCATTGAAAGCTTTCAGTCAATCAGGACAGCTGTTGGATCTGCACCTTAAGAGTTATATTTACATTCAGGCGTCCTCCTATAATAGTAGCTCAACATATTGAATATATGGTGTAGAAAGGTTGGGAGAACCTGAAAGTAAAAGAACAGAGAACATATATGATTAATCGAGGGAAGGATATTTTATAAATATATTGTAACTTGCAGGTTGATCTCGAAGAAACAAAGGGACAAGAAATTACAAAGTTACAGAATATTTTGCAAGAAATGCAAGGGAAGCTGGAAGAAGCACACAACCAAATCATTTGCGAGAAAGAAGCAGCAAAATTGGCTATTGAACAAGCACCTCCAGTCATCAAAGAAGTAACAATCCAAGACAACACCAAAGTGGAAGAATTAACTAATCAAAATCATGAACTAGAGGTATCATCAAGCATCTAAAGCTCCTATTCCTTTATTCTGGTCATCATTGTGCCTGGCCACTCAAAAAACAAATGTGAATTGTATATAGAAGGCATGTGAATAGCATAACGAAGCATATGAATATATGATACCATAATAGTACCATATTATCTAGTTGGCTGTGGGCATATCGAAGGAAGCATATGAAAATATGATACAGTAATAGTACTTTTTTAAGTGCCACACAGTCATACAAGATACAAGATCTAGGTAACAATTTTTCATGGTTGGGCTTTGTATACTATGAGTAATGGCATATCTTCCTAAAGAACATCTGGCCAATCATGTGGTGTTTAGACTTTTGCAGGTGGGTCCTTTAGGAGGATTTTTAGACAGATGTTTAGGAGGATATAGCAGTACTCTTATTTTATCTTTTATTTTCTGCTGCTTCTTTTTTATGTTGCTGTTCTGGGGGTGTGGGTGTGGGTTTAGGAAAAAAGATTAAAAAAGCACTCTTAGCTACTCTGATACATCCCTGTGAGCATTTAAACAATAAATGATAACTGGAGATAATTGTCCATGTGCAGAATGAAATTTTAGAGCTGAAGAAAAGAGTTGAAGAGTTTGAGCAGAAGTACCATGAAGTTGAAAACAAGAGCAGAGGTATACTTAAAGTGCTGGAAGATTCACAGCTTAAAGTCTCACAACTTCAGGAAACCATTGAAAGGTAGCTGAGGTCCATTAAGTTACACTGATATAATAAGGTCTGTACTTGGACCCTGAGTTACTAGATCTCTATTCTTGCACATAAACAGATTAGATGTGAATTCATCCACCCTCGAATCAGAGAATCAGGTTCTGCGTCAACAAGCATTGGTTGCTTCAACAAATGAGGACCTCTATGAAGAAACCGAACGGTAAGAACACAAACTATATAACTTGCTACTATCTTTTACCCTTCCTTTTCTTTATTATATCTACCCCACAAGAAATCAAGTTCTTTGAATATGGTGGTGCAATGAACATTCAATATGCTCCTACCATTCTTCAGGTTTTAAGCCTAGTTGAGGTTTAAAACTAATGTGCCAAAATATGTGCCTGCCTACCTGTAACAGAAAATATAATGGATTCTTTTTAGTGTAGTGGTTATGTCGCTCTATCAGAATGGTTTTTCTTCAATATATGACTTTGAGAGAAATCTACAAAAGAAATTTAAACGCACTTCAAACTTGGTTGTTCTATCTAGACACTAGAGGCATACAGTGCTAATAAGTAGTTTTTTGTACTTCCCTTTTCTTTGTAGTGCCAATTTCAATCACATAAACTTTAACTTTGGCAAGAAAAATATGCTGTGCCAATATCAAAGTCACGTCTAGATAATATGGAAGTGCTAAATACTGCATAGAATATTGGTTATTTGGTATAGTTGTCACATTTTGTCACATTTCAGAGTTCTCATCTCTCCAATTTCTTACTCTACCTTTCCTTCACAGGTCCTCCCTACCTATCAATAAAATAGGAGAATGATAGATATAAACTTGATCACTCATACTGAATGGATTTTGTTTGGACACACACAAAAAAGAAAAAGAAATCAAAAAGCAAATGCTTCAGTGAGCTTCACTTTCCACTCAATTCCATTTATCACTACAAACTGCAAATTGTAATTATAAACATCGATTTCGAGGTCAGCTATGTTAAAATGCAGTTTCTAAGATACATCGGTTTACAACAGTTTTTTGGAGTAAAATCATGAATATCACGTTTCTCTTTCAGCCTCCGAAGCAAGATCAAAGAATTAGAGTCAGAGAATAAGTACCTTCAGAACCAAACAACGGTTGTGGAGGTTGTAAAACTGATAACCACAACAGAAAAGGTTTTGCCACAACTACAGGTAGGTTAGACTTAGTAGCATTGTTTTAGAGATGAGTGCTTAAATTTAATATCGATTTTAGACATCACAGAGTTCGGTTAATGGACATGGAATGGAAGACAGCTTTGAAGCACCTGATGCAGAGCAAGAAAAGACAAAAGTATGTCCACCTTTCTCACAGAAGATCTCTCAGAATAATAGTAAAAGAAATTTAAGGATTTGATGTATTGTTATAACGATGAACAAATTCTCTTTTTTAGGAGTCCAGCAATGATGTATCCTTCCTAACTAAACAAAAATCACTAACAGGCAGGCAGCAGGTATGCATTCAAAATTCAGGGTTCCATTTCTTTTGTGCCATGGTCCTCCCTTCTCCTTTGTCAAATTGTAGGTCCCATCCGTTTCTCCTCACATCAAGCAAACGGGAACAAAATCATATCATCATTTCTTCCAACACCAGATATATGGAACCCAAAAATAAAATGGAATTTCTAAAATGAAATGAGATCTAGAACTTTTCCAGCGATTTGAACTAATATTTTTGATTGCCCAACTGCTATTCTTTCCTGTTCGTTCTTTCCCACAAGCAGGAGAACCATGATGTACTGATCAAGTGTCTGCTGGAAGACAAGCAATTTGACAAGACCAGATCTGTTGCAGCTTGCACTGTGTACAAAACATTACTTCAGTGGAGGTCCTTTGAGGCAGAAAAGACACAAATATTTGATAGAATTATTCACACAATTCGATCGGCTATAGAGGTAATATTCAGCATATATCCTAAAGATGTGAAGAATATTGAAAATCCATGCATCTAGCCAGTTATGGTCCTCCAGCATAACCAGCTTGGGGGGGCATTCTTATTTGCAATTGGAACTGACCTGACATTTCATGCCAATCAAGACTCAGGATAACATCAAAGATTTAGCATACTGGCTATCAACAACTTCAACTCTTTTGTTCCTGCTACAAAGTACAATCAAGGCAAGTGGTTCACCCTATAAATCTCCACAACGCAATCGCTTCTCGCCCTCCACATTGTTTGGTAGCATGGCACAAGTAAGCTCTTCCAATTGTCTTTTCTGCGACAAACACTTTCCTTTTTAATTCTATAATTCTAATTACGTATTAGCAGGGTTTCCTTGTATCTCCTATGGCCATGGGTAGCTCTAGTGGGTATAGTGGAATGGAAGGAAAGCCAAGTGCACAATCCAAAATAGAAGCCAAGTATCCTGCGCTTTTGTTCAAGCAACACCTAACAGCCTGTGCCGAAAAATTGTATGGAATGATTCGTGATAGCTTGAAGAAAGAGATAAGTCCATTTCTGAACTCATGTATACAGGTAAACACTTATCGATCAGACATTGAGGCATTAAGAAAACACTTAGGTAAACACTTAAATTCTCCAATGCGACTACATTTCTGCCCTCTAATCCAATAATAGGCACCAAGATCCACAAGGGTCGGATCGATAAGAAGGGCATCAAGAAACATCCTTTCAAATATTATGGCAAAACAACAGGCATCAAGCATACACTGGCAAAGCATTGTTAATAGCTTGGATCACATCTTGTGCATTCTGTCTGAAAACTATGTAAGCACAGAAAACAAAATTCACTTTAGATCAATATCAATTTACAAGCCAACATATAACAACAGTTGTAATATCTTTAGGTTCCTTCAATAATCACAAGGAAAATTTTCAGTCAGATATTCTCATTCATAGATGTCCAGCTTTTCAATAGGTAAGGTGCCTCTACTTCAAACTTTAAAGGAAGGTTTTACTTATGTTACTCAAGTTTCAAATACTTATACATCTTGTCATTTTGAAGCTTACTGCTTCGACGTGAATGCTGCTCGTTTAGCAATGGTGAATACCTAAAGTCAGGTTTGCATGAACTTGAGCTGTGGTGCACGAAAGCAACAGACCAGGTAATTTGTTAATCCTCCAACCACTTACTATTGAACATAGGAAATACTCCATATCAGGATCTTGATAAGAATTCATTGTATATTATATTCTGTAATAATACAGTTTGCTGGATGGTCATGGGATGGACTACATCACATAAGGCAAGCTGTTGGATTTCTGGTATGATGTACAGCCCTCTTATATTTAATAAAGCGCCCACAATAAAGGATTGAAGATAATAAAAGATGCAACACTCATGCAGGTATCACACCAAAAAACTCAGAAGTCCTTGGAGGAGCTTACAAATGAACTCTGCCCGGTAACAAGTCAAATGCATTTTTGCCATCTTTATAATTATTCAGTTTTTCCTAATACAACAAGAAAAACACATCTTGAAGAGAGTTTCAAGAATTACTTCTGGAAAATAATCACCACAATTATGAAAATTAAGATTAACACAAATCTAAACTTTGCTTTCTGTTTCCCATACTGATTAGATGTTGAGCATTCCACAAATATATCGTATTGGAACTATGTTTTGGGATGACAAATATGGAACCCAAGGCTTATCCCAGGAGGTATGTAATCTACAGATTTCATTATTGATATAATTTTGACTATTTAGATGACCCTCAAATCTAATGCAGATTATACATTCTTCAATGGGTTGCTATCTAGATATCAAATAGAATTGCATGTACTTAGCAAAAGCTCCATAACTTATTTGTATGCAAAACTTTGCAATAAATTGGTTCTCATGTTGTAATTGGGAAGTATGCATAAATTTCACAAAGTTTTCACAGAGTAACTTCTTGCAAAGTTTATAAACCCATAAGTAGTCTTTATCAAACTCGCCCCAATTGGGATCAGAACGTTTCATGAAAGACAAAAAGAGAAAGAATTCATTTGAAGGTGTCATGATGTATCTTTTATCTATGCTTGATGAAAGATATTCAATTTGTTATCTGTGAACTCATTCTTTATGGAATTCAGGCAATTGGCAAGATGAGATCACTAATGGCAGAAGATTCAATCAGCATGCCCAACAATTCTTTCTTGCTTGATGTAGATTCCAGGTAATGAACATGCAGCTATAACAGCTACCAGAGATCAAAGATTGACACATTACTAATTAACAAATTTTTACATAATTTAGCATACCATTCTCTGTGGAAGAAATATCACAGAGTTACCAAGATTTCAACTTGTCTGATATGGATCCACCACCTCTCCTCCGCCAGAGATCGGATTTTCATTTCCTGTTGCAGCAAACAGAGTGAAACTCTTTATTACACTTGATATTAACAGAAGAAAGATCAATTCCACTGTAATTGATTGATTGCAAATCCCCATTTTGTTTCTGCGGGATCCACAATATGATAAGATGAGTAATATGTGAGATTGATTTGTTTTTTATTCTTTCTTCCATCCAAAAGTCAAAAGATGACTTGACAATTTTCGATATGTTATGGAGTGGTATTGAAAGTGTGAGGGCAGGTGATTGTTGTAAAGAAGACAGGAACTGATATACTTGAATTTGTTTTAAAGAAGACAGGAACCGGTATACTATTCAAGATAAGTGGGAGATTTTGTTCTTGCATAAACAAGTTTGTTGGTTACTAATTTCCCGGTCTAAATGAAGAGGATATTTTATTAGATGTTCCATGGACATACATCAAGAAATGCAGCAAAAAAGAATTCACAATCTTCAGATAATAATGATGTAGAAGACTTGTTTAGTCCTATATTAACCATGGAATGAAATTACGAGGCACCAACAGTGGAGAAGATGAAAGATTATATCTGCTATTCAAGCAAAACCGAGTTTCGACTATCAAACTGGTTAGTGCTATGATGAATTTGACCATAACTACGAACATATCACTGGCCAGAAGAATGCCCTTCCATGACCTTCTCCAAACGGTAGATCATAACATCCCATTTTTCCATTAATTAGGCAGCTTTATCCAACACCATAAGAACAAGTTTTCTAAAACGTGAAAAATATCAGCAATCAACAGAAGTACAAAAAACATATATAAGCCCTATTTAGAACAACAGTGGTTAGATTCAATGATCATTCTAGCTATTTGAATTTGTAATGAATTTTAAAAACCATAAAAGAACCACTTAAAAGCAGTAATACACTACTTTTCCATTTGAAGGGAAGCTGCTGCCTGTTGAAGGGGCGAAGGGCATTGGCAGAACAAGAAAACAGAGAAAGGCAAAGATATATTGACATCCTCACCAAAAAAAAAAAAATTAATGAAATCATGCATGTGAGTTGATTGTTGTAATTGTAGTCAGAATGGTTACAAAAACCTAATCGGGATTTTGAAATGAAATAAGAAATCCTGAGATAAGAGAAGTACCTGAAGGTTTTACTTTATCTGGAGATTGCTTCCATGGGATTTGAATAGGCATTTTTGGCAGCCATCCATGGCTTCCGCTAACCACAATTTGATTCTAAAACCACGCGGGAAATCCCTACAATATACGTACTACATGCACCATCAACTTTTGTTTAATATCGAGTGGGCTTGAGCTTGACCATCAACTTAGAGTTTGTTTGGGATTACTTATTTAAAATAATTTATGTTTTTATGTAAAATTGTTTATTAATTTATGTGGTATTAAACTAGAGTTTTGTAAAAAAAGAGATTGGATTAGCTTATAGTTGTACCAAAAAGCAATAAGTTGATAAATTGTTTTTTTAGTGTTTGACAAATTTTGCTTATATATATAAAATAACCAAAAACGACAGTTTTTAACATGTAAAAATTTATTTTTCATCATTTATAATAATATATTTAACAAAACTTCATATCAATAAGATTAATAATTAACAAACATTAATAAAACAGTGTTAAAATGGTAAACTGGTAATAAGCAGTTTTTTACAAGTAAGGAATGATTAACTTATCAAAAATTGTTTGTTACCGGTTTGGCACCGGTATAAGCAGATTTATTTTTCTTCATCCAAACACTAGCATTTAGCTTATCACCGGTGTCAGACTGAAATAAGTGAAAAATATCTAAAATAAGCAATCCCAAACACCCCCTTATAGTGATTTAGAACCTTCAAATCACAAACCAAATTGTAACAGTAATTTAGAAAATCTTATGAATCGAAGGGTACAACTGGTCAAAATGGTTAAACCAGATTACAAGTTTAAATACACCTAAATAAGTTTAAATATAAATATTCATATATTATTTATACTATATTATAAAACATTTGACAAAAACTCTTAAAAACCATTTTTATGCATAAAGTACTGTATATTGATGCATATTACTTAAAATTCAAAATTACAAGTAAAATATGCATAAATACAACTTATCAAAACTTGATGTTTAAATTCGTATAACTAACTGCGAATAAACATAATCAAATAGAGGATAAATATCTCATTTTAAAATATAATTAAGATAATTATCGAGTTCTAACAAAATAATTAATTATTATCTTTAAAATAAAATTATATTATTAAACCAAATATAAATTACTTTGTTATTGTACTTAAATTAAATTATAATAAAAAATCTGAATAAAAAAATTACACAAAAAATGAGAAATTTTAAATAGTTAATTTGATATTAATATCGATATATTTTTGTCAAATTTTTATGATATCTTCAAATTTATATTTTATTCAAAAATAAAAACATCATCGATTTCTCAAAATCACATCAAAACATATTATAATATCGACTGAGATAAAGAATAAAATGAAATATTAAAATCAAAATGTATCTCGCTGCATTACACGAGTACCCTTCTAGTATTTATATATATTCATATATAAAAATTTTATTTTATAATATTTTTATAGATATAATATATTTTGACAATACGTATTTATAGTATATATAAGACGTTTCAAATACAACATATCTCATTTCTACAACCACTATAACCCAATTTAAACCAATCATTATTTTTTTAATTTTTTTTCAATTTTTTTATGCGAAGGATAATTTTATCTACTCAATTTTTCATATAATTAATACGTTTATAATATTTTAATTTCTCATGAGATTTTGTAACTGGTTGCATTTGATTTTTAATTTTCGTTTTTGGTTTGTTAATGATTATGGAAAGGATTTGCGTAAGCTATACATGAAACCTAAACAGGGGAACATTTCTTTGATAAATTGTCAGCCTTCTGAAGAAGGTTCAGAGGCATACACCGTGTTCATGAATCCAGTTTCTTTTGCAGCATGGTGGTGATGAAACATTGTGCTAATGAAAAACATACACCATGTTCATGAATCTAATTTATGTAAGAGAGGCCCCAATGAATATGATTTTTGAATGAGTGTGGTGTCGATGAAACATGATGCTAATGAAAAATAAACATCGTGTTGGATGAAACTAATTAGTGTCTAACGATGAACTTGATTACCCGCTTCATGTTTAAGAGTAATATAACTTTTATGAAATATTTATTTTTCATGTTACCTCTGAAATATCTTTTTAAATTAGAACATAAATCCAAAATATAATTTAAATTGACTTTCAAGGTGCTCAATTGATGGTCGTAGATGAATAATTTGATGGCTAAGATATATTAGGTTGTATTGGTTGTACAAATGGTAGTGATTGGATAATAAACCATCTATCCGTCCATATATATATATATATATATATATGTGTGTGTGTGTGTGTATGTATATGTATATGTATGTATGTGCGTGTGTGTAGGATCGTGTGAGAAGAGAAGTTATGGTGAAAAATATAAGAAGAGATCTAAACCCTTTGTCACTTTTAATCTCAGACACACCTTTGAATTAAGCTTTAGAAGGGAATTGATCTGGTGCACCTCATTACCGTTGACAATCAATTATGATTGATCCAAGGGTGGAGATCTCTTCTTTCTCTTCTCATTATAACTTTCTTTCTCACCGGAATCCAACCCTATATATAGTATTCATAAAGCCATCTCAACTACTATATGAGTAGGAGGTGGTTTATTTGTGGTTTAATGGTATGTAGGGCTTATTTGCTCAGCCATATTATAGTTTTATTTGGGGCTTAATAATTAATGTATTAGTTGAAACGGCTTTATGGATACAATCATTTACGATTCGCCTTTTTCCTAACTATGCCCTTATGTTCACCTATATTTAATTTGCTTTTCGGCGCCTCCTCATGCTCACCCTTCACTGTTGTTGTTCCCTCCTTGCTACTACTATTAATTGGTGTTCGATCTACTCCTCTATCATTGCTACTCCTCGTCGATCTACCTTTCATTTACCGTTTCTTGCAGACCATCGACGCTCGTCTATCTACTCCTCTATCACCATTGCTCATTGTTGCTTGCAGTCCACCACCGTGCGTCGATAGACCCCACCTTCACCATTGTTGCATTCTAGCCATTGTTTGTTGTTGGCATATCGCCACCATCCTCGATCTAGTCATCTATTCAGGTAGTAGAGGTTGTCATTTGTGGCATTGGGTCAGACACGGGTTGTGTCCTGTAAGACCCCTAAATTTTGAAAATAGCAATCAATTTAAATTTCGGTGAAAAACTGATCAAATTCACAAAATAAAAGTGTTTACCCAAAAGGGCATCAATGTTTACAAGACAGCTCAAAAATAAAGTTTTGTATCATAGTACTAAATACTTCTATATCTATTTAATCCTTGTAGTCATACTACATTTAAATCAGGGTTACGTCAGCCACCAAAGTTGTTATCTTAAAGTATGAGCTATCCAAAAATGCTACTTTGCTCGTGCCTCTAGATGGCACTCCAGAGCTCTAGATCATTTCCCTTTTGACTCGTCCTTACAAAGCCCTGCTAAAGCATGAGATTTAAAAAAGAGGTGTTAGGCTGACACCTAGTACGAGCTGGGATGTTTCCCTCCCGACTTTGGATCTTAGCACCCAAAAAGTCAACAATTCATTCTGGACATCCTATGTCAGGCAGGCCTATCCAATGCTAAACCGGCTCGTCCTCCTATGTCATCGACTGTGCAACTAAATAGGGAGTCAAGTACCCTATTTGGTGATCCAACGAACTATTGTCAAATTGTAAGTGCTTCACAATATGCTACTCTTTCTCGAACCAACATTTCCTATGTTGTTAACAACGTGTGTCAATTTATACACGCACCGATGGACCATTATTGGTCGGCTGTGAAACGTATCCTTCACTATATTCGGGGAAAAACTTCTCTTGGATTTCTTATCCAGCGTAACTCCAAGCTTGCATTCCATACCTTCTCTGACTCTATAATTAATGCTTTTTCTGATGCTGATTGGGCTGGGTATCCTGACAATCGAAGGTTTATATGTGATTTTGTTATATTTCTTGGCTCAAACCTCGTCTCTTGGTGTTCCATAAAGCAACGAACTGTCTCCAGCTCCTCTACTGAGTCTGAATATAAAGCCATCACGGACACTATAGCTGAACTCACCTGGCTTCAGGCCCTTCTAGGTGAAATAGGTGTTTGTATGCATGGCTATCCAATATTGTGGTGCGACAACCTTGGCACAACCTACCTCTCTACCAATCCAGTGTTCCACACCCGCACAAAACACATTGAGATTGACTTCCATTTTATTTGGGAAAAGGTCTCCAGAGGTGAACTACGAATTCAATTTATTTCCACTGATGATCAGGTCATTGATGTCTTCACCAAGCTGTTGTCAACACCACGGTTCCATTTTCTTCGATCCAAGCTTTAGGTAGTGTCCCGCCCTTAGCTTGTGGGGGCATATTAAAGCATAATTTGCAATATCTTATAATTAAAGGATTAGTTTTGTAAATAGGTTTTCTAAATAAGTCTTGTATTGGCTGCCAGTATTCAACAAGAAGATTACCTTTGCCTAATCAAGGTTTTATAGATAAACATAACATAGGTATAAAGAACGGGCAGTATATGTCGAACTTACTTTTTTGTCCAATGGTCTAATATAACAAAACCTTTTATTTTGCAAGGTTGATAAGTTACCCTTACCCACTTTATAAAACAAGTCAGGCTTACCGGGCCAACAAACCTAAAATATCTTCTACCTTTAAAAAAGATAACTTAGAAGCCGTTTACCAAACACTTCCCGCGTGTAAGTGGTTACCGGCAAAACTCAACACTATAACTTATTTACCGGGTAATAACTTATTTACCGGCAAAACTCAACACTAAAACTGTACCATATGCAGCAATTTACCCGGTAAGCGCTAATCGTGGTAAGAGTTGTCGCCCTCACTTACTTGGTAAGACTCTCGGTCCTTGCTTTCGCTCTTATCAAGTAAGATTCTTGGTCCTTTTCATATTCACTCGATAAGGTAATGTGACTTGATAAACGCTTACCTGAGTAAACATTTGGTAAACGACCCCTTAATCATAAGTCATGTGTACTCATTCAAAATACACCATTTCCTTTCCATTTCAAGTCGGATGATCACATATACATAATAACCACATAAGAAACACTCATGACACTCATATAACATCTAATATAATATATTGATCTTATAGCATGTCTATCTTGTACACAATTTCCTTAACTTATACCTATATAAGTTAACATCAAAACTTTAGTTGTTCTTTTTTAGTAACACCAAGTGTTGCGAGTGAAAGTAAATAGGTTGTAGTTTATGCATTCTAAGTTGTACATTTATCTTTTTGATGCGTTTTATGTTCTATGAAAATACTATACAACTGGTTTTATATGCAATATAATGAGTCCTTAATACCATAACAGTAAAAATATTTGTTACCTGAAAATGATTGCACAAATAACTATTAATAAGTATATTTCGGATCGAAGTGTCAAAAAAAGTCTAATTGCCTTCAGGACGTAATATAGTTGGTTCTAGTGTCTTGTCCTTGTATAAATTGACGTGTGAAAGTTACACTTACACTTCTTTTGGAGATCAAGTTTTTTTTGGACACTACACTCTAAAACCAACCACTTACACTTAATAGGTGGTTGTACGTTGGGATCGCTTACTAAATGCTTACCTTGGTAAATGTCTACCGGTTTAATTATTTTACTGAGTGAACATAACAAACACTAAAAATCTCAAAGGGTAAGAGAGAAGACAAAGATCGCGAGTATTAACCGGTAAAGTAAGGATGATGACTCTTACCAGTTTTTATAAAAACTTATCATTAATCTATTTTGATAGCCAAAAATATATACAATAAATACTTACCCAGTAAGTGTTGGGTTTCTATATTCGAATTTTTCAGAAAAAAAAAATCCTAAAAACATAATATTTTATTGGATAGAATGCACAAAATATCAATCTACTTTCAAAAATTTCTTAATTATAACATTGCACTTTCAGTTTTTCTTATTACATCAATGTACTTTTAAACTATTTTTTATTAGGACATTGTACTTTGAAAAATGTACCCATTATAGCATTGGGTAATCTTTCGATTTAAATTTACCAATTATACCAGGTTTTCATGCCACCTCATTGTTCAAGTAGGCTGTCCACATATACTATAGTGATGTGACTTTCTTGCTACATCATTATACTTTCAAAGTTATTATATTATAGCATCTACTAGTTCTTATTAAACACTGTATTTTTAATTTGGATATTTAAATATTTTACATGTTATTTAATAAATATATTAAATGAATTAAAAAAATTCTAAATTATTCATTAATATACTAGTATCAATAAAACTAATAAAACACAACTTATCTCGCTAATATTTTAAAAAAAATATGTGTTTTTTGAAAAAAGAAAATAAGAATTGTTCATTTTTTACCAAAAAATATTATCTTTTAAATAATATATTATATTTGTTCAAAAACTTTTACTTGACGCATAAATATATTAAATTAATTAGATTTTCTGGAATTATTTATTAATATAACAATATTAAAAAATTATAGATCATAATTTATTTCGTTAACATTTTAAAGGGAACTTTAAAAAATATGTATTTATTTGAACAACATAAAATAAGAAGTTTTACTTTTTTTACAAACAAAATATATCTCGAAAATAATGTTTCATATTTATTTAAGAAATATTTTACTCTATAATATTTAATTTGTATGCAACTTAATAAGAAAAAATAAAAAAATATTAAATATATTTTTTTATCATAGCAATGAAAAATAAAAATCACTAATAATAATTTGAAATAGGTTTTTATTTTAGTTAAGTTATTAAAATGATGTATCATCCACATCAGCTCATAAAAGCCACACAAGAAAAAAAAAAGTCAAGGGATTAACCGGTTTAAAATGTAACAGGTTTCCCATTGCTATTATGGATAAATTGTTTAAAGTATGATGTCTTAATAAAAAATAATTTAAAAGTATATTGATCTAATATAAAAAAATAAAAATAAAATGCTATAATTATTTTTTTTATAAAAGTAGATTGCTATTTCTTGTGTTTAACCCTATTTTATTTTTATTTAACAAGGAAAAAAGAATTTTACTTTTTATTTTATTTCGGCATAACATAGGTGGATAAGAAAGGCCCCCCCTTTCTTCTTTCTTCTTCCTACTCTCCATCGCCAATGCTATCTTCTCCAATCTGAAACCTCTATATTTCCAGAAGCCATGTCCGTCGCCGCCCGAATTTCTTCAATTACAACCACCATCAAACCCCAATCTCGTCCCTCTTCCTCCCCCTCTGTAGTCCTCCCTATCCGTCTTCACAAAACCCACACCAGCCATGCTTCTCTCCGCTGCTCCAACTCCTCCTTCCTCAACCCTATCCATATAACACCTCTGACAACCACCAAATCCATCAGCCGTAGACCTCACTCGATCCGAATGAGCATGGAGGCCGGAGTGGGTTTAATGGGTACCAAATTGGGCATGATGACTTACTTCGAATCCACCGGCAAGGTGGTTCCGGTTACTGTTATAGGTTTTAGAGAAGGGAATGTCGTGACTCAGGTGAAAACTGAGGATACAGATGGGTACAATGCGGTTCAAGTCGGGTACCGGAGGGTCCGAGATAAGAAACTGACGAAACCCGAGATGGGTCATTTGGAAAAATCAGGGATAATTCCATTGAGGCATCTTCAAGAGTTTCGGTTACAATCTGTTGATGGGTTCGAGCCCAATCAGAAATTGGTGTTGGAGGAATTGTTTCAAGAAGGTGATTTGGTTGATGTTTCTGGCACCACCATTGGCAAAGGGTTTCAAGGTCCTCTCCTCTCCCCTCCCTTCCCTTTAGTTTTACACTTTTAGTTACTTGAAATTGCAACCAATTTTTGCATAATTTGAGGTTAAGTTTGCTTAATATCAGGATTACCAATTGGGTACTAGATTATCTTGATACAATTGCTCATAGATGATCGCAAATGTTATCTTTGAGTTGAGTACAGTTAATTAGGACCAAGAGAGTTGATACAATTGCTCATAGATGA